CTGCCCGGGGTCGCCTCCCGCAGTCACCCCTGCCCCGCGCCCCTCCCCAGAAACCACCCGGAAGTCCCCGGTGGCCGCTCTTCCTCCCGGAGTTGGGCAGGTGGAGCAAACTTCTGAGCGACTCCCTCTCTGCCCTTCCCCGCTCTTCCTCTAGGGGGCGCGCTGGCCCACCCGGACCGGATCGTTTTCCCAAATCCTGGTGAGTGGATGCCGCCTCTGGGGGCTGGGGGCTCGGTGACAGGAGGGCAGCACAGCAGAGGGAGTCTCTCTTCCCTGCATTCTTATGGTGCCGACGTCGTTTTTGAGTGGCGATTGTCCACCCTTCATTTTACAGATGGGGAAACTGAGACCCAGTGTGAACCCTCACCTGGTACTTACATATTTTGTTTTTCCCCCAGTCGCCAAGCTTGATCTCCCTAGCCAGAACGTAGTCTCCCTGAGGCTAGAGACAGTATGTTCGGTTCCTCCTGGTCCAAGGGCTGGCACAGAGCAGACATCAGATTGTATATACTGTTGATACCTAAGGTGAAGCTGTGACGCTTGTGGGAGGAAGGGGGCCCACTGAAGACTATGACGATATCGAGTATGGGCGGGAGGGGAAGTTTGTGTGCTCCTCCTTGAAGAGCCCAGGCCCTTGGGGGCCTCAAGTCTGGGGAGGGATGGGAGGGTAACAGACTCTCAACCAGCGTCTCTGCCTCTCTCACCAGCCTGTGAAGACCCTCCGGCAGTGCTCTTGGAAGTACAGGGCACCTTACAGAGGCCCTTGAGCCGGGACAGCCACAGCTCCCCTGCCAACTGCACCTGGCTCATCCCTGGCAGCAAGGATCAGACTGTAATGGTCAGGTGAGAAGCAGGGCAAGACCCTCTTCCTCTCCCCGGCTCCTCCCAGCTTCATCATGGGAAAGCCTTCAGGGAAAGCCTTCTTTGTGGAATTCCCATCCCTGTCTACAGGGGGAAGAGTAGAATTTGATTTGGCCTCATCCAGCGGTTCCCAACCTTTTTTTGGCCATGCCCCATCTAAGCATCTCTAAAATCCTGATCCCCCCGCCCCATGACATATAATTCTTATTACCCGAAAAGTGAACTCCTATTCACGTGGAGGAAGCCTAAAAGGCCATTAACTTGGTCTAAACAAGCTTCCAAAGAGCATGGCATCCATGAAAGAGAAAAATAAAAGAACAAAAGGATAGTTGAAGTACTGAGGAAGCAATCAGTAAGAAATTGTTTAAACGATAATAATAATATAAATTGATATGAAAAAATAGCAAATAGTTTCAAAACATATAATACTGAAATGCATAAATATGTCACCATTTATACTTATATACTGTATCTGAGGCCCCTAGAACCATAAGAAATGCAAAAAATTCAATTGCCCTCCTTAAAAATCAAATTGTGCCCCACATTGGGAACCACTGGCCTCATCTGTCCTAAAAGCCTGCCTTGTTCTGAACCAGACACAGTGAATTGGATCTGGGTGGGGATGGACATCTAGCTTAGGTCCTGGTCATCTCTGAAGGTCAGCAGTCATTCTAGAAACATCCTTGGGTTCCTCTATGGCTGCTCTGAGGAAGTCCTTAACCCTTGCACATCTTTGCCTAGGATTCAGAGCTAGTCCTTTAATCAGCTAGAACCTTTCTCAGCCTCCCCAGGTCTCTTGAATAATCCAGGTCTCCCAGGCTCCTCCAACCTTGGGCCATGGGGTTGGGCCCATGTTAATTAAGTACCTGGCCGTTTGCTTCACACAGTTCACTTTTCATGAATTTACCCAGAAAGGGGTAGGTGAAGGGAGAGGGAAATCTGTGGAGAGGCTTTTGGAGCAGAGGGATCAAAGTGCCATGGTGATCCCAAGTCTCACTGCCAGGCATTTGGAGGGGATGGCAAGTTCTGGATAATTTAGCTGAATGGTAACTGCCAGTTACTGCTAACACTGTACTTGAGTGACAGTGCTGCAACAACTGGAAAGCAATGCCCCTGTTCATATTGCAGTCCCAGAAGATAAGTCTGTTTTTCCATGGGAATCTAGGATATATCACATAATCTCAAGGTGCCACTGGCCTCTGGTAGGACTAGTGCCATTGACCACTAAGGAATTTAGCTGACTGAATTTTCACTTAGCTATTTGAATTGTGGATAAGTAGATGCTTGTGCTTTTGGGGGTAGAAAAGTCCTGGGGAGGAAGAAGCCAGCGGTGGTCGTCAAGAATATCTCACAGCCCTGGACGGTGTGGCTGTTCGTTGGACCATCTCCCATATACCAGAAAGTTTGTGGGTTCTGTTCCAGGTCAGGGCACATACCCAGGTTTCGGGTGTGATCCCCAGTCACGGCTCATACAGGAGGCAAAGCAATTGATGTTTCTCTCTCACATTGATGTTTTTGTCTTTTTCTCTCTCCATCCCTCTCTCTAAAATCAATAAAGTGTCCTCGGGTGAGGATTAACAAAAAAAGAATATCTCACATCCTGCTCTCTACCCCTGCAGGTTCCAAAAACTGCACTTGGCCTGTGGCTCGGAGCGCTTAATCCTGCGCTCCCCTCTCCAGCCACAGATCTCCCTGTGCGAGGCACCTGCCAGCCCTCTGCAGCTACCTGGGGGCAATGTCACCATCACCTACAGCTATGCCGGGGCCAGAGCACCCATGGGCCAGGGCTTTCTACTCTCCTACAGCCAAGGTAGGCTGGACAGGGTGTCCCTGGGGCTATTAGCACAAGCAGTGGAAGCCCCAGGGAGGAGGGGAGGACCCCACCAGTTCCGGTGCTTCATAGCCCTTCTCCATGGTGCCTCTGCAGATTGGCTGATATGCCTGCAGGAAGAGTTCCAGTGCCTGAACCACCGCTGTGTGCCCTCAGCCCAGCACTGCGACGGGGTCGATAGCTGTGGAGATGGCTCGGATGAGGCAGGTTGCGGTTCAGATTCCTTCCCTGACCTGATCCCAGCCTCTGCCCCCACCCCACGCTGCAATCACACCTTGGAAGACTTCTATGGGGTCTTCTCCTCCCCTGGATACTCCCACCTGGCGTCAGTCTCCCACCCCCAGTCCTGCCTCTGGCTGCTGGACCCCCACGACGGCCGGCGCCTCGCAGTGCGCTTCACAGCCCTGGATCTGGGCTATGAAGATGCAGTGCATGTGTATGATGGCTCTGGGCCCCCTGAGACCTCCCGGCGGCTGCGCAGGCTCACCCACTTCAACAATGGCAAGGCTGTCACCGTGGAGACGCTGTCTGGCCAAGCCATTGTGGCCTACCACACAGTTCCTTGGAGCAGTGGTCGGGGCTTCAATGCCACCTACCATGTACAGGGCTATTGCTTACCTTGGGACCAACCTTGCGGCTTAGGCTCTGGCCTGGGGGCCAGTGAGGGCCTCGGTGAGCGCTGCTACAGTGAGGCACAGCGCTGTGATGGCTCCTGGGACTGTGCCGATGGCACAGATGAGGAGAACTGCCCCAGCTGCCCACCTGGACACTATCCCTGTGGGGCTTTTGGCACCCCCAGTGCCACAGCCTGCTACCTGCCTGCTGACCGCTGTAACTACCAGACCTTCTGTGCTGACGGAGCAGATGAGAGACGTTGCCGGCACTGCCAGCCTGGCAACTTCCGATGTCGGGACGAGAAGTGCGTGTATGAGACATGGGTGTGCGACGGGCAGCCGGACTGTGCTGACGGCAGTGATGAGTGGGACTGCTCCTATGCCCTGCCCCGCAAGGTCATTACAGCTGCAGTCATTGGCAGCCTTGTGTGCGGCTTGCTGCTGGTCATTGCTCTGGGCTGCACCTGCAAGCTCTATGCCATTCGCACCCAGGAGTACAGGTCAGCTGGCTTTAGAGGAGTGGGGACTGAGGGTGAGACAGAGCCCGTGCTGCCACAGGAGACCAGGAGGGTGCCCATGTTGGGGATAGGTTCAGTGACCAGCTTATGGGTTGGCTCGGGGTTATCCAGCTTGGGAAAACAGGTTCTTCTTTGAGGGAAGAACAGGTCTATCTTCTGAAAGCCATCGCAAGGAAGGAGGGGACCTCAGATGACTTTTGGGAAAACCATGGTATAGCTTCAGTTGTCCTGTCCTGGGTGTGGAGGGAAGAGGCCTGTCCAGGTCGGGACAGGCTACTGTCGCTGGACCACCTGTGACTGAGCAGCCCTCATTCCTTCCAGCATTTTTGCCCCCCTCTCCCGAATGGAGGCTGAGATTGTGCAGCAGCAGGCACCCCCGTCTTATGGGCAGCTCATTGCCCAGGGCGCCATCCCACCTGTGGAGGACTTCCCTACAGAGAATCCTAATGATGTAAGTCACTGCCCCCAACCCTAGCTCATGCTGCCCCCAACTCCACTGTGGCCCTGCCACTGTCCCTTCCTCCTTTCAGGCTTCTGGCCCTCATCCCTCCGACTGATGTCTCCTCCTCTCCTTGCAGAACTCAGTGCTGGGCAACCTGCGTTCTCTGCTACAGATCTTGCGCCAGGATATGACTCCAGGGGGTGCCTCAGGTGCCCGC